GACAATGACAGGGATCACCTTGAGAATTGGGCGATCCGGTGATGGACTCCTCTTTTATCAAGACAGAATATATGTTCCTGAAAATGCAACAGTCAGAAATCAGATCCTTCAGGAGTTCCACGACTCACCCACTGCAGGACACTTCGGCGTGAAAAGAACTTATCAATCCATACAAAGATGGTCCTACTGGCCGACGATGAGGAAGGATATCAACACATATACCAGCACATGTGAAGCCTGTCACAAAGCCAAACCCATCACACACCGCACTTACAGGGAACTCACCCCCATCCCAGTACCAGACAGAAACTGACACATGATAACAATTGACTTCATCACAAATCTTCCACAGTCAAAATGTTCAGCCACAGGTCAGATAGTTGACGCCATAGCAGTATTCTGCTGCAAATGATCCAAGAGACCACACTATATCCCAACTGTAACTGACTTGCTACCACAAACATTCGCACACATCTTCATAGCAAATATAGTACGACTACATGGGATTCCAGCAGCAATAATATCAGACAGAGACCACTTATTTACCTCTGACTTCTGGAGAACATTAACCAGAACCATGCAAGTAAACCATCGACTCTCAACAGCTTACCACCCACAGACAGATGGTCAGACAGAACGACAGAACAGAGAAGTGGAGGTTTACTTGTGACTATACACTGACTACCTAGCTTCAGCGGATGGCGCAGCAGGGGTGGCCACGCGAGCTGCTGCAGCTCATTGACAGTTTCCTCACTGAACGCAGAGCTCAGGTCCTGCTGGAGGGGACCACCACAGCAGCACATCAGATGCAATGTGGCACGCCACAGGGGTCTCCTTTGTCACCAATACTGTTCCTTCTGTGCCTGGCAGAGCTGCTGTGGCAAAACTCGGAGTTGCACTTTGGCTATGCGGATGATCTGAACATCTGGCGGGCGACCCACTCACTTGACAACAATGCCACCCTTCTCAGACAGGATATACAGAGTATTCTGAGGTGGGGGGAGATAAACAAGGTGGCCTTCGCACCAGAGAAACTTGAGATGATCCATCTTACAAGAAAGCGACACAATGAGGCACCAGCAGTAGTTGTGTCTGAGGACCTCACTGTTCACCCTGTTACTGCCCCAGCTGGACAGGAGCCAGCACTTCGCTGGCTGGGTGTACACTTCGACAGAAGGCTCACCTGGAGACCACATGTCTCCACCCGGGCAAAGAAGGCAAGGGCCGTGGCCCAGCACATCCGGAGTCTGGGAAAGACCAGAGACGGGCCCCCAGCAGACGCTCTGCGGAAGGCGGTCACCACCTGCGTGGTTCCCTCACTGCTCTATGGCACAGAGGCCTGGTACGGCGGCCGCACGCAGCCAGCAAGGCACACGGGCAGGAGTGGGGAGGTTAGCTCCCGCCTGGGATGGCATGTGGGGACAGTTGAGAAGGTGCTTACTATGGCAGCCAGAGGGGTCCTCCCAGTTTTCCGTACAACGCCCATCGCTACCCTATACCGGGATGCTGGGCTCCCATCAGCAATGGTAGCTCTGGAGGAGGCCAAAATGCGATTCGCGACAAGGCTTCAGGTGGTGGATGAGAAGCACCCACTGGCTTCACGGATAGCACCTCCAATGATCACACGAGGAAGAGGGGCTGGAACCCGGCAGCGCTCAAAGACCAAGATCCAGCGGTTGGGGGCGCTGCTACCTGCAGTCAATAGACCCACACTTGCCATCCCACACTACTCAGAGGGATGCGGGACAGACCCCACAGAGGGTGTAGACAAAAAGAGTGCTGCTCAGGCATTCAAGGAATGGTGGAGAAGTCAACCCTCAACAGATCTATATGTTTTCTCAGATGGATCAGAACGGAGCCTTGACAACAGCAGGCAGGTGGGCTATGGCTTCATAGTCTATCAGGGAAATAAACAGCTGGCCAGCTTCTCAGCTGCGCTGAGCCCTATGTCACATGTCTTCGACGCTGAGGCAGTTGGTGCCTGCTGGGCATTAGAGTGCGCCGTGAAGCTCCTACCTTGTGTCACAGAGGACAGCAGCAACCCTCAGATCTGGCTCTGCCTCGACAACACCTCAGTCATCTGGGGCATACGGGGCAGTGCAGCAGCCTCCTCAAACTGGGCCTACAACCGCTGCCATGAGCTCCTCAGACAGCACAATGTCGGCCTGAAATGGGCTCCTGGGCATATGGGGATAGAGGGCAATGAGGAAGCAGACCGCTTGGCTAAGCGGGCAGTCTCATCCACTGCAGCCCCAGCCTATGGTCTCGAGGCCACACCCACAGTCAGTGGGGTCCGCACAGTGGCCAAGCAGCTCAGCCAAGAGGCAAGGCGAAAGTGGTGGAGTGGAGCCTGTGGCAAGCTCTCTGACTGGTGCCGGGGCTGGAGTTTCAGCAGGCCGACTGTGGAGTACCAAGTGAAGGCCCCTCCGGAGCTCACCATGCCACGGCATGCCCTTCACCGCTGGCTCGCACTCCGCTCCTCTCATGGGGACTTCTCCTGGTACCACAGGCGTTTCCAGCATGCAGATGCGAGGCTCACCTGTGTCTGTGGACACAACAAGAGCCCAGAACATTTGGTGCTCTGTCGACACTCACAGAGGCACTTTCTTCACTGGCCCAAGAGGCCAGCAGCACGGCCACACAACCGGGCGACAGCTGTTGCCTATCTAGGGTCTCTGACCCCTACAGACTTTGTAGAACTGCTGGACTGCACGCAGTTCTACACACGGTACTGCACAAGGTAACGCAGCCGGCTGGCTGCAAACCATCTGACAACCCCCGCAGCAGTTCCACGAGGCCGGCCTGCTGAGTACACCCACGGTAGCTAGTGCAACTACCAGGGACATCACAGTCTATGCAGACAGTACAGATAGCACAACTAGGCTCATCTGTCTCAATTAGCTGTGGTGTAATCAGTACAGTCTACGTGTCTGACTCAGCTGATATGGTTTTGACTGCCGGCATTGTATCTACGCGTGCTCTGCTTTGTTTTCCTCTCGTTTGCCCTTGTCTCTATCGGCTCAAATGCTTCTTCTTCCTTCTTTTCTTTGCTCTCTCTGTCATTCTCTGCTCTTTTCCTGTCACAACCTTCTTCAGTGCTCTCTCCTTCATTATTTATCTTGTCTGTCTTTCTTCTGATGTTAGAAGCACAGACAGCTTTCTGATCAACTGAGAGAGGTATCCCTCTCTGCTCACTATAAAGCCTTCCAGGCACGGCAGCGGCGGTCCCCTCAGGGAACCACACTATAGCCCCACCATGAATGGCCATACGTCGGGCCAGAAGTGGATGCGCAGCTCAGAAAAATCCTTTGCAATGAGCTGAGTCTTCTCAAGAGTTGCCACCTGGATTCTGTTTTCTCTCTCTGTGTACATAGAAATCTCTCCAGCGTAGCACGTCTCCATGCCCTTCGGGAGGCTTCTGAAACACGGGCGCTGCCCGTGTTTTCTCCGGGACGTTAAACCTATACATACATACATACATTCTCATTTTCATCAATCTACTCATTCTTCAATATATCTGTTTATAAAAGACATTTTCTTTCATTTTTTTCTTTCATTTCTTCATTATTCAGAGCATTCGCTCTCTCTGTTTCACAGACATTAATGACAAATTAATCACTGAAGCAGACATTGCAGATACAATCACTATCTTTATAACTTATACTTTCACAAACTCAGCTGCTGTCTGATGCTGAGATTACAGAGCATTCACTCTTACTTTATTTTTAACAGACAGTATTATCAAGCAAGATATATTCAACCCTTTTATTAAATAATAAAGATGATTTTTATAGCTGGCCATATTCTTCTCAGCCACCACCTCTATAAAAATAAATGTACATCCATGCATAATGCATCTCAGAAGAGATATATCACACATCTAGCATCATTATTAATATATCAATATTATTAATGACATTATTTAACTATTCAAATACAAATTCAGAAAGAGAAAAGGAAAAAAGAAAATAAAAATCAAAAATAATCACTCACAAAATTGCAGGATTTTTCTGCAGAGGCACAAACTTCACAACATTTTTGAGCATTGAGTTTTAACACACATTAAAAATTGACATTTCTCAGCTTGAAAGCATAATATTTATGCAAAGGCACAAACTTCACAACATTTTTGAGCATTTAGTTTTAACACACATTAAAAATTGACATTTTTCAGCTTGAGAGCACAATATTTACACAGAATTCAATTGTTGTACATCACATAATTAGAGTTATAGCAAATAACAAATAAACAGTGAATAATACTATACAGAAATAAGTTAATAATGTATATGACCACATTAATAACTCATTGACAGAGAACATCAGCAATAATACATGATAAATGTCAGTCAGATTATTATTATATTCTTCTGTTATACTCATATACAAGCAGTGCTTATGACGAGTCCTTGTGTAATGTTAAATACAGGTAAGAATTGGTTATACAGAAGGAATGCTTAATGTTACATGATATTAAAAGTATAATAAAAATATAGAAAAATTAATGAAAGACAGAATTTGATACTTATAATATAGATTTTCAGCTCAGAAATAATAAATTAAATAAGATAATAGATTCATCTAAAGATATCTATTTAACAAATTCACATATCTTTATTTTGAGAGCTGAGAAGTTAGCTCTGAATGTAATGTTGTCCTCTTGTGAGTTTCAAACTCACACGCCTTGAGTCCCCACGCCAAGGCGCTACCTGGTGACCGCATTACCCATTCAGCCACCGGGGTAATGCCAGTCAGAGAACAACTTACTTAAAATTATAATATTCAAAAAAACTCATTTCAATGAAAGAAAAGAGAGAAAAATCAATGAAGTTTAAAAAAAAAATTTTATTAATTTGAAATGAAAAGATTGTAGCAAAAAAATAACAAGCTTTGATGATAATTTTTTCAAAAAAAAAAAAAAAAAAAAAATTTTACTTCTCTATATACAACCTCTAATAATCAAAGAATCCATCAATTCTACTTCATTAAAAAATTGATAACAATGTGTATATAAGCTGTTTACAGGACGTGATTGATACACTGCTATCAATAAATAACACTTATGATATGAAAATGCAAATATCTACTAACAAGCAATCTATACAAATTGGTGAGAGCAGCTTTTATAAAAAAGAGAGGCAATTGTAACGCACTCATTTATTATTTTCTTATTATATTATCTTTATTTATTCTTACCTCTTTTCATTATATTCCCAGTATCACTATTTTTATATATATTTCTCACTATTGCTATTTTTATATGTATTATTATTATTATTATTCTTTCATTATAGATGTATGCAGTCAGTGACTATGACATTTACCTGAAATACTTCAGGATTTTTCAACTTAACAATAAATATATATGAATGTATGTATTTCACACATTTTCTTTTCTCTTTTCTTTCCTTCATAGCAATTAGCTACTATTATTACTACTACAATTATTATTGTGATTATCATTCACTATGCTATCTACTATTTTCCACTATTCACTCTTCACACTGTCATCACCCCTCATAAAAAAGATGAATGAAATATTTAAAAATAAAGATATCAAGAAAAAAATAAATGCAATAATAATTAAAATAACTGTTTTTAATATTGAAATGATAGAAGCAGCATTAAGAGGAATGATTCTTCAATAAAAAGAATTTATTGATCATTTTATCAATCATTTTATCAATCATTTTATCAAAAATTTTACTGATCAATCTTCTATCATTTCTGATATTATGACCGTTGATCAATTGATGAGATGTTTAATTGTGAATGATAAAAGCTATTCTTTCAAACAACATCTCTATCTTTAAAATTTCTGAATATTCAATGTTGATGCTGAGCAACATATCTGTAATAATTGTTCTAGATTTTTAATATATGAGATGTCAGAAAAGTGAATTTACATTGAAGATGTGATAATAAAAATTATGAAATATGAAACTGTTTGAATTTACATGATCAATGATTTGAATAAAGAATTCAAAGTAATGTTTAAAAATGTTGTCTACATTTTGTTCTCTCATATCAATCTGATTGCTTGAAAACCCTGCTTTTATATAAAGAGCATCTATCTCAATGGCAAAATGTTCAAATTGCAGAGGGTTAAAGATGATTCTATCTTTACTCATATAAAAATGTATGATATCAAATGTTGCTATAAGAGTTTGAATAAATAGTCTGTTAAAAATATTGAGATCAGATTTTTCTATTTGATTTATTTTAATTTGTTCTTTATTCTTTATTTTCATTTTGCTTTGATGTCTCTTTTAAGTTTATTTATGATTAATTTTAATTTGTTTTTGAAAAGTTTAACTTGTTTTTTATTGATATTATATTTGTTGTCAGTTGTTTTTCTTTTCCTTGTTTTAATAAAGCTGTCTTTTACAATATTTATTTCTTTTATTTTCAAACTAAATTGTGTTGACTTGTTTACATTCTTTTGATTTTGATTTCTTTGATTGAACAGTTTGAATAGTTGTTTGATTCTGAAAATGAATTCTATTAATGCATGTATCAAATTGCTTTTGTATATTAGTGTAATGCACTCGTTTATTATTTCCTTATTATTATATTATCTTTGTTTATATCTTCGTCTATTCTTACCTCTTTCCATTATACTCTCGCTACCACTATTTCTATATGTATATATATATAAATGCATGTGTTTCGCATATCTTCTTTCTCTTTCTTTTCCTCTTCAGCGATTAGCTACAACTACAACTACAACTACAACTTCAACTATACTACTACTATAATTATTATTACTATTATCTTCCACTCCACTATATACTATCTTCTACTATTCACTCTATACACTGTCATCACCCCTCACAATTAGATTATTCTTGATTTGAAAAATCCTGAAGCATTTCAGATAGATGTCATAGTCACTGACTGCATACATCTATAATTGAAAAATAATAATAATAATAATAATAAAAATGTATGATGAATTGCTTGTTAATGAATATTACAAAATTAGTGAGAATGCTTTAATATTTGTTAATATTGCCTTACTTAACAGTTCAGCAGAATTTGTGAAGATATCATAATCAGAATTTGTAAAGATTGATCATACAATTTCTTTTCATACTTTGAAAAGTTCTATTGCTTTCTTTAAGATTTAATATTAACGTCTAGAGCACCTTTCAATGAGAGCAGTAGAACATCTATCAATCAATGTCAAAAGAGTTCAAATATTAAATATTAAAAATATTGTGAAAGATGTTGATACTAGAAGCAAAGGACTTGTAAATTTTATCATTTGTTAAAATAAAAATCAAATATCTCAC